CCTTCATCTCCACGCCCCGAGCGCCTACTGTGTGCCGGCTGTGGACTCAGTGGGGAGTGACGCAGACAGCTGGTAGCTTCTTAAGATCTCAAAGCGCTTCGTCTGTGGTGTGTCCTGGACCACATGCTCCTCCAGATGAGGCTCCGTCCTGTCTGCGTCCCCAGGACCTGCCCAGGGCCCAGCACATAGTAGGAGCTCGGAAGATATTTGGTGACTGCCTGAATGAATTAATGAATGAGAGACGAAGAAGAGAGCGACGGTGTCTCAGTTTGGGCTTTGCCAGAAGCAGACCTTAAGAAAAGCGCTCAAGGGCAAGCAGTTTATTTGAGAGGTGACCCCTGGGAGTGTCAGCGGGGAGAGGGGAAGTGAGGCGGGGACGCAAAGACGGCCAACACAGGGTACCTCTGGGTCTTCTTGAAACTGGGCGGGGTCATGGGATCCGATCTGGTTAGTGGATTCTGAGCGGATGTGACAGGTCTAATCTCCAGGTCTAATCATTTTATTGCAGGTGGTAGACTTTCCAGAGCTTTCTCTTCCACCACCCTGCAATGGCAGCGTCACAAGGTGGTGGAGTCACCATCAGCTGGGGGTCGTGAGTGCCCATGTGGAGAAGGCACCATGCTGACCAGCATTGGACGTGTGGCACGAGTGAGAAACAGGCCTGTGCTGTTAGAAGCCACTGAGACTTGGGGGCTGTTTGTTACCCAGCACAGCCTGGCTGATACACTTGGACCCTCTGCTCCGCCTCGCCTTCTCGCTGCTACAAAGGGGGTGGGCCTTGGTGTCCCCAAATGCAGTTGGATCCCTAGACACAAGGAGGCAGAGTTCACTGGAGCCTCAGAGAAGTTCTCAACTGTGTCAGCACCAATGCTCCCTTCTTGGGACAATCATTTTGTGAGAGCCTTTTCACTCTCTTGAAATACAACTGACACTATAACCAACTACATAGATGCTTTCAGAATAAATCAGTAATAAAACGTCCTGACCATAACATAAAAGAATAACAAAATGTATAATAACGTGCATTTCCATATGTAAAGTTTTGGATACAGCTCTGCCAGACGACGTAAAAAGGAGCAGGGATTGGTGCTCCTCATGACAGATGAGTTTGGAGAGGAAATTAATATTGAACTGAACGTGCGTTTGACATTTTCACAGGCCGGTGAAGAATCATCTAGAATGTAATGCAGCCACACGCACAGACCGTTCCAGAGGGGAGGATGCAGACACTACAGGCAGCATGGCCAGGGGTATCCTGAATTCCCAAAATGGGTGGAAAGCTTGGTCAAGTTCCCCCCGAGGGAGGGAGCTGGGGTATTTATATCCCATTTCCCATCCGCCACTGGACGAGGGCTGCTCCTGGTGGGCGTGCATTCTCCGGAAGTCCAGCCGCCCCCGGGCACCGAGGTTCGTGGATGCTGGACCCACCCACACTGGGAGTCCTAAGGGATCTTGGGAAGCACACGGCGTCCGCTGCCATCCGGGGCCAGACGAAGGGCGTCCGGGGGAGGGCTGAGGAGAGGGGGCAGCTGGCCGCAGGACGTGGCAAGGGGCCCCCAAGAGAACCGGAGTGGGGGCTGCATTTTCAGAGGCCCACGGATGGTGGACCCGTAGGAGGATGCCTGCAGGGCCTGCCGCCCGGCTCCCGACGGTCCTCGCGCTCCTGTCCCGTCTCCGTGAGCCCTGCTCTCCCAGGAAGGCTTGTCGCAGCCTGGACTCTCCAAGCCGGGCCATGGGGCTCAGTTTTCTTATTTCCTCCTTTCCATGGGCGTCCTTAGGATGAAGCCCCCTTATTGAGTAACTGGGAGGTCCCTCTGCTCTACCAGGGAGCCCATCTCCAGGGTCATCATCGTTGAGGAGGAGGGGGGTGAACACTTACCCAGCACACACTTCGCTTTAAGCGATGTTTTTAGCCCTTTCTGCAAACTAAACTCACGTTCACACTCACAACAACTTATGAGACAGGTAGCGTTACTATGCCCGTGTTACAGATGAGGAAACGGAGGCACAGAGAGGTTAAGTGACTTGCCCAAAGGCACACACTAAGTGGTGGAGCCTGGAAAGGAAGCCAGGTGGTGTAGATCAAGGGCCCCACTCGGTCATATTGCCTCTAATCCCTTGGCCAGGCTGTCTCTAACCATTAGTCTACACTACCCCTCAATTAAACAGGTAAAGAGACGTCCTGGCGCTGAACCTCACCTCCTGTCCCTGAAGGACTCTGCTACCCTGTCGCTCTCAGGCTCTGCTGCTGCATGAGACAGAATTGAGTCTCGGCCAGAGCTAAGTGCAGCCTTTGGGGGTTAGACGGGCCTGGGGTCAAATCCCAGCTCTGCCACCCCCTGGCTGCGTGACCTCAGCCGTCGGCTGCCCCTCTCTGAGCTTCCCAGGCCATGAGGAGGACTGAATACGACCACGCATCGTGATCTACAGAGAGAAAGTGCTCCCCGACACAGACAGTCATGATGTGTTTGAGGTTTGGGACAGGCACTCGATGTCAGTGACCTCCTGGGTCAGCCCCAGATCTGAGGGTCCAGCTGAACCCCACCCCTAAAGTCAGCCCTGCTCCAGACCCTGGGACCGAGTCTGGCACGAGGGAGGGATGGGACCCCTCCGACCCAGCACTGAGCTGGCCTCCTTGCAAGCCTTCTTCTGACGCGGTCCCCAGGGGCCATGAACGGGCCTTCTTGGTGACAACTCCCAGCCCAATGCTTAGGACATAGAAGACGCTCCAGCAGCAGCAGCCTCTCCCACAGCCACAGCTGCAGTGGCAGCTGAGGCCTCAGGGCAGCCCAACCCCGGCATCAACGGCCGGCGGGTGGGGAGAGAGGAGCTCTGGGGACAGGCGTGAATTTAAGTCCTGGTGGCACCACTTAAAAGCTGTGGCCCTCGGAGCAATTTACTTCAGCGCTCGGAGCCTCAGTTTCCCCCTCTGCCGACGGGGATCATGAGCACCTGTCCGTATCTCGGAGACGATACTGTAAAGCACCCAGTGGTGTGCTCCGCGCACAGTAGGGGCGGCACGGTGGTGGCTATTATTATTGTTGTCATAACAGGAATAATAACTGTGGCTCCTGTCCAGGGTTCTTCTTAGGATTCAGGAAGACGATGTGTAAACAGCCCTGGGTCCGGCGTTCAGTCAGCACTGACGCGTAAAAGCTGACGAGGCCTCTCTGTGACAGGGAGGAAGGAGTGGGTGCTGGGTGAGGAGCTGCGGGGGGCTGCCATCCCCACCCAGGGGAGTCAAGCCCTGCCTTTTGTCTGCCCAGTGCTGGGTGCCCCCACCCCCGAGCCTGAGGCCCGGCCCCAGCTCTCCCCTACACCCTAAGTAAAAATGATTCAAAGCAGTTTCTTGGCTCTGCATATTTTTTTCAAAAGCAGGCCGAAGTAACTGAAAATTGCCTATTCTTTTCAATGTCTCCCTGTGGCGCCCACGGCTTCCCACACATCAGCCGCGCCGGCGTGGAGGCGGCAGGTGGCTGGGACGACTCCGGGCACAACAGGGAACAAAGTCAGGGAAAAGACGCAGGACTGGCTCGTGGAGATGGGAGGGCCAGGGGCCGGTCCCCAGGGCTGCGGGAAGCCAGCTGTCACCTGTCAGACGGGACACTCCCTCCTCTTCCCACTGCGGGCAGAGGAGACTCGCATTTACGCCCGGCACTGCCACAGCGTCCTCCTTTGGCTGGATGAAGGCACTGAGGCTCAGAGCAGTGACGGTCAGTGGTGGGAGGTGGGATGGGGCTCAGTCCCCAGCTGAGGCTGCAGAAGCCCTCTGGACAGGGGACAGAGTTACTGATGCGTGGAAGAGAGAGGGTCGGGGCATCCCCGCATCGTGGCTCGCCGGATCTCGCAGTGGCCTCCAAGTGGCCTCCCTGAGGCCCCCTGGCCCCACAGTCTGTTCTCCAAGCCACAGCCAGAGGAATCCTATTAAACCCTAAGGTAGATTGTGTCTGTCTTCCCTCGGGCTCTCCACGGCTCCCAGCTCCAGAGAAGAGTCAGAGTTTCCCGGAGTCTGTGGAGCTCTGAATGCCCTGACCCCACTCCCTCTCTGACCACTCTCCATTCTCTCACTGTCATCTTCTCAATAAATGAATGAAACTAGAGACAGACAGATAGAGATAGAGGCGGAAATGATGAATAGCTGGATGGATGGGTTAAAGGAAGAATGGATGGAAGGATGGGTGAATTAATGAGTGGAAGGATGAATGGGTGGGTGGATGGATGGATGGATGGAAGGATGGGTGGATGGATCTATGGGTGGATGGATAGAGGGAAGGAAGGACGGATGGATGGGTGGATGGATATATGGATGGATGGATGGATGGATGGGTGGGTGGATGAATAAATGGATGGATGGGTGGACGGATGGATGGATGGATGGATGGATGGATGGATGGATGGATGGATGGATGGATGGATGGATGGATGGATGGGTGGGTGGATGGATGGATGGATGGATGGATGGATGGATGGGTGGATGGATGGATGGATGGATATATGGGTGGATGGATGGAGGGAAGGGTGGATGGATGGACGGAAGGAAGGAAGGATGGATGGATGGATGAGTGGATGGATGGATGGACGGAAGGAAGGAAGGATGGATGGATGGATGAGTGGATGGATGGATGGAAGGAAGGATGGATGCATGGCTGCATGGATGGGTGGGTGGGTGGGTGGATGGGAGAGAGATAGGACGGATGGATCAATGGAAGAATGGATGGAGGAAGACATAAATGGGTGAGTGTAAGGAAGGATGGATGAATCAATGGAAAGAAAAAAACATGGAAAAATGGAAGGAAAAATGGATGCATGGACGGACAGACAGGCAGACACAAGATCAGGGCAGGATGTGCGCGTGGTTCCACCTGAAGGGACTAGAGCCTAGAGCACGCGCACAGCTCACAGCCCTCCCTCGGGGGTCTGAGAACCCTCCCCCAGCCTCCTCCGGCCTGCCCCTCCCACAGCTGCCCCCAGGCCTCGCCCTTCAAGAAGTGACACAGAGGAACATGGCAGGTGGGGGCCCGGCCCCAGGCTTTATTGAGCAGATTCCGGGGAAGGGTGGACAGGCGGGCCCTCCCCCCGGCCCTGGAGCCTCCTCTTCTTGCCCTTGCTGCCCCCAGGGGCGGGCCGGGGCCACTGGGGCCTGGGTGCCCTTCAGCTGCTGAGGAAGCAGCCCCGCTTGTGCCACTTCTGGTCGCGGATGCGGCGCACGGACTGGAGCTGCGGCTGGTTGGCGTCCCACTCGTTCCAGTGGCGGTACTCGCCCCGCTCGAACACGTACTGGCGTCCACGGTAGCCGGGGAACTCGTAGCCAACCCACCTGCGGGGATGGCAAGGCCGGGGCAGGCCGGTCAGCCTCCCATCTCCCGCCTCCAGCCAGAGCGAGCCTTTCAAAGCCAGCATTCGCCCATGCTCTCCACCTGCCCAAATTCCTCCCCGGCTCCCCAGTGCCCTCGGGAAGAAGTCAAACTCCTTACCCTGCTCACAAGATCCTTCAGGGAATGTCTCTAGCCTCATCTCTCAACCCTCCTTCTTCACACCCTGGACTCCAGCCTCTCTCATTCTACTTGCCTTGAATCTGCTTTGCACATGCTGTTCCTTCTGTCTGGAACACTTTTCCTTGCCTCATCCTTATCCCTACCCCTCTGTCATTCGCATCCTTTACATCTCAATTGGGATGTCTCCTCCTCCAGCAAGCCCTTCCTGATACCTGGAGGCTGAATCGAATGCCACCCTGGACTCCCGGAGCATCCTCATCACAACACTGATCACACTGTGAGTACCTGTGTCCTTGTCTGCCTCCCTATCAGGCTGTGAACTTCTTGAGGGCAGAGGCTGCGTAATTTTATTGCCCCCACACCCTGCGCATAGTAGATGCTCAGTAAAAAGTTGGTGACTAAATTATTATCAGGAAGAGGTGGCATCTTTCAGGGCCCAACCCCGGATCACAAGCACACAAGTGAGACGTAGTCACTAACGAAGGGAAAATGATTCTGAGATTGCATTAACAGAGATACTAAACCTAGAAGGAGGGAGGTGATGCACCTGCTTGCCTATGTACTACTCAGGTCACATCTAGAGAACCACGATGTCACCAGGGCAAGAAGGACAAGGATTGTGGAGAGGAAAAAATCTGAGAATCAGTTCAAGGGTCTGGGGATGTTCAGAAAAGGAGTGAAGACTTTGATGAGGATTGGGGGGGGGGAATGGACAGATTTCTTGTGATAAAAATAAATAAATCTTTCTATAAGTCAAGGCTTCCTGAAAACCCAGTGGTACAGGAGTGCGAGCCATTGGACGTTCGCATCCTGAGGCTCGAGAGTGGGGCTCTGAGCAAGGATGCTGCAGGAGCAGCCGACTCGAAGCACGGGCCTCCAGCCCCGGAGGAGCAGGTGTCAGCTCTCTAGGAAACACGGTGAACAGAGATTCTGTTTGGAGCCCGAGCTGTGAGTGACGAGGACGAGGCAGGGGAAGGGTGGGGGTGGTCCCTTACGTCCCGTTGATGGCCCGGATGCTCGCTACGCGGTCCTGGAAGCCGTGGGCCCAGAGGCTGGGCACGTCGTCATCAACTATCTCCATCTTGCGGCCGCTGAAAGCTGGGTTTTCAAACAGATGCAGCTTGTGATCCGGACCATCCTGGGGGCAAGACCACGGGGTGAAGCGGCTGCTCCCAGGCCCAGAACCCGGGTCGGGGAGGCTCCAGATGCAGGCAGGAATCAAGTCGCCACAAAATAACGCCCATCCCCGAGCCCACTGCCTGGGGCGGGGGGACTCATGGGGCTCCCCCACCCCCAAATGCAGGAGGGGTGGGGGCCTAGAGGTTCCTCCAGAGCTGGGCTCCTTCAGAGCCCTAGAGCCAGGGAGCCGTGAAACCAAGAGGGAGCGTTTCAGGTCTCATTCAACGCCATCATTTAGCAGATGGGGAAACCGAGGCACAGAGAGGGTGGAAGACCAAATCATTAAGGTGGCTGCATTCCCTCTTCACTAAACCAGATTCTGATTTGCTCTTCCCAGCTTTCCCCCTCCCACTCCCCTTCCAAGGAGCATTAGCTATTGGGACAAGGAGAAAGGGCTGGAGCAGCCACCAAGGGCGGGGGGAAGCAGGTGGGAGAGAGAAGAGTGACAGCTGTACTCACGATGTGCAGGGGCCGGAGGGACAGGAGGCTGTCGCTGTGGTGGCTGTTGGACCAGGCGTCCCAGCGAGGGTAGTCCCCCTTCTCCAGGACAAACTGCTCCCCGCGGAAGGCCCTGCACTCGAACGCCAGCCACCTGTGGGAGGAGAGAGGCCGGGCCGCCTGTGCTGCTGCCGGGGGAGGACCCGAGTCTAGCGAGGGAAGGGCAGACCTTTGACCCGGCACCCTCCTGCCCACCTTTCTACTGATCCCCCGGGCCTGTTATGGAGGGAGCTCCCAGGACACTGGGAGCTGAGTCTCTGAGCCTGCACCCCGTCCTGGGAAACAGTCTTGAGAATCTATTTTACGTGCCGCCCATGGCGGATGCTCAGAAACGTGCTGAGCACAATGCCTGGCGAGTAAGTTCTGCACGGTCGACTCTCCTTTCTTCTTCCTGTGCATCATTCCATTCATTTTCACAAAAACCCTCTCTGAAATATGTGCCATCATTATCCCCATTTGACAGATGAGAAAACAGAGGCCCAGAGGGTGGGACTTGCCCAGGATCCCCCGGGGGGTTGGAGCCTGGACTTCCAATCCGAAGACGAGAATTCAGAGCCTGGCGGGGACCTGCTTGCCGTGTGGACACAGCCGGGTCACCTAACCACTCTGGCCTCAGTTTCCTCATCTGTGGCTCTCTCCTAGGGCCGTTGTGAGGTTTCAGTGAGAGAGCGCATGGTCAGTTTCAGATGTTATAATTATTTGTTCAAATCGTAATGATGAAGTCCCACTTGGCAGACACTGAACAGGTGCCGGGTGGCCCCCTCTGTGCTCCCGCTGCGTAGATCCACATGGATCCGGAGCTAGAAGGATTCTAACACGATCACAGTTCAACCCCTTCATTGTACAGATGGGAAAACGGAGGCCAGAGATGGGAAGCGAGCCGCCTGAGGCCCCGCAGCCCATCTAGGGCTGGAACCCGGACCTCCCGACCCCCCGAAGGCTCAGGGCTGCGGAGGGGCTGCGGGTCCCGGTACTCACGGCCCCGACTCCACTTGGATGGAGCCCACCTTCTCCAGCAGGCTGTCCGTCAGGTTGGGGCACTCGGCCGAGAGCTCGCACCGCTTGCCCTGGAAGTTCTCCATTTCGTACACGATCACCTGGAAGGGCAGCGTCCTGAGCGGCCCGCGGGCCCGGCCCCCGGCCCCAGCGCCTGACCCGCGCCGTCTTCCCCGGGGCGGGGACGGAGGTACCACCCGCCCGCTCCATCGCTCCGCCTCGCACCGGCCTGGAGCCCGCGCCACAGGCTTGCGCTGCCCTCTGGTGGCCATGCAAGGCACCGCCTCCAGGAAGCTCAACTAAACCAGGGATTGCAACTCGGGCACCTGGCAGGGGCCAGTCTCGACCCCATTAGGACTGTAGGGAGATGAAGCTGCTTACGGAGGAGCGAATGCGGGCCCCATTCTAAACTTTTCAAGAGAGGCCATATATTTTTCTTAATGGGAAACTTCCCCATTTAAAAAACCCAGTGCAAGACAGATGAAATGTTAGTTTGCAATAATGGGGTGAACTTTGCCTTACACCCAGGGAGAAAGCGGCTGCAAAGACAGAGGAAGGCTTTGCCTCTCTCATCCACCTCGAAGCCCACTGTCTCTGAAGCAGGTCCCTGGGGAACATCTGCTCTGGTCATTTTATAGAAGGTTCAGAAAGGGTAAGTCACTTGTCCCAGGTTGCACAGCAAGTTAAGTGGAGGCACTGGGATTCAATAAGTCAGCCGGCTCTTTGCACCCCCGCCCTGGCAAGGACAGCAGAAGGCCCACAGATGACAAAAGGAGGCAGGAAGGGCTGGGAGTGGTACCCACCTTCTGGTGGGCAAGCTGCCTCTGAGGATGTGCCATGCCCGTGAGGTCACTAGCACAGCCCTGCGCTCTCTCCAGGAGGAAGCTGAGGGTCCTCATGGCAAGGCTGGCCCAGCGTCACCCACAAATCAGCCCCAGAGCCAGGCAGGCCTCTTGGCTGCTCTTCCCTCCCCGTTTCCTCCACTCTAAAGCCACCGGCACGGCCTCAGAAATGCCCCCGTTAGCTCTGTAGTCAACCTATCCTTGAGCCCTTCTCGAACTGAAGCCCCCGGGGCTCACTCAGAGAGGGCAGAGACAGCAAATTCCAACTCTGTCCCATCATGGCATTTGCACTGAGCTCCCGCCAGCTCCGGGGGACGAGGGGGGTGAGCATCGTTCTCATTTTCCACGTGGGGCTGCTGAGGTCCAGCGACGGACGGGAACTGGACTGAGGTCAGGCAGGAGGGTCAATACCAGTTTCCTGAACCCCCCGGGGCCCCCCGCCCCGTTGGGACAGGCAGGGTGTGTGTGACCAGCTCCACAGAAGAGGGAAGAGGCAGTGACGTCACGAAGCGAGTTGACGGCAGAGGGCACAGGTGTCCTCCTGGCCCAGCTTGTGGAAGGGCTGCCGCTCCTTTCTGGAAAGAGGCTGCCTGGCCGGGATGCTGACCCTGAGGCCCCGACCCTCCCCGCCCAGTACCTTGTAGGTGCCCCCAAGGCCTCCATGGCCCTTGGCAGCCGCAGCCTGCTCCGGAGTTCCATGCTGCTCCGCCATCTCCCAGGAACACCTCTGGATTCAACCAAAGGAAAACGGGTCACCAGGTCCACCCGGGAGAAACCAGGTGCTGATGTGACTGGAGTCGAGGATGAGCTACAGAACTCTGCTGCCTATGGCATGTGGTCATTACTCACAACCTACATTTGGTCATTCAGTCATTCAACAAACATCCACCTAGCGTCTACGATGGGCCATGCAGACTGGGACAGTCAGTGGGATCGGGATCCCCATTTTACAGAGAGGCACCCTGAGGCCCTGTGAGGGGAGGCCACTTCCCCGAGGTCGGGATCCGGCCTGGCCCCAAAGCCCATGCCCTGCCCCCACACCCAGAGCTCAGCACAGACACCACCTCGGACCCCGGTCAGAGGGCAGGCCCCGGGGCGTTTCCTCTGCAGGGATCTCTCCCCTCTGCACTCCAGACTAGAGTCTCTGTTCGCTCATTGCCTCACGCACCAGTGATTCCGTGAGCCCCTCAGAGCCCGGCCCTGCGCTGGGATGAGCAGGGGACCACAGGCTGGAGGGCATGGACAGACAGACAGACAGCTGGAGAAAGCATGATGCGGGACCAGGTCCTCAGACACCTGCTCCAGCCCAGTTTCCATACATTCACTTCTTCATTCCATAAGCATTTATGGAGCACCTGCTGTGTACTGCCACTTAAAGAGACACAGACACAGACAGACAGCTCCCGTTCATCCCACGGGGACCGTGACACACAACACAGGCCCCGCAGAAGTGGAAGGATTCTCGTGATTGTCCCGAACGCCGACACAGAGGCTGTTCTGCAGTCTATCAGCACACGCACAAGCACACACACGCACATATGCACACCATCTCCCATAGTCCCTGTACACAGTCACATCCTGTCCACTGCACAAGGACGGCCTCGCTCCCTCTTTCACACACACACAAACGCAGGCCATTTCAGACATCCACAGCGGTCCACAGGGCACCCATATCAACACCCCGCACCCAGCCGCTCCCCTCCCCTGGCTCAGGCACTGCCACTCCTGCATGCACAGGGCACGGCCCATCGAAGCTGGACCCGGGCCCAGGGACGCACAGCCTGCAGGCTGGCTGTCCTGTCTGCGCCCAGCCTCCGCGGGAAGCAGAGCCTGGTCCAGCTCCTGGAGGACTCTGGTGAGACGTGGCAGCCCCGTCTGCCCACCGCCCTCCTCAGCTGTGCTCAGTCTTTGCAGGCCTCCCACCCCAAGCACATGCCCAGGGCACCACCCTCTGATGCCAGCTGGCCTTGGGGCTGTTATCCGGTCCGCCCTCTCGGCCCCAACCTTCAAGTGAACCCCCGATTTGTGCGGGGGGCCAGTGCACGCCCCACTGGGACCCCCAAAGTCCTGGGCCTGCCAGGGCAGCACCTGCTCCCCGCCCTTGCACGTCCCGGAATGAACCTGCTGCTGGCGCCTTGGGAAGAACCGAGGGGTCAGCACTGGCTGCAGACTCCATCCGCCTTTGCAAGGAGTGTCCTATTTATGGGCGCTTTCTGCCAGCCCAGCACATCCCGGCCTGCTGAGCCAGCGCCCTGTCCTACCGATTCCGTTCAGGCCATTTCACTCCAATAGCGGCCTGGGGAGGCCCCAGCGCCTGTGTCCTGGGCCAAGGCCTCTGATGACTTCCTGGGGGCAGAGGGACCTCATCAGCTTTGTGGGAAGCCCGACGTGCCAGGCGTGGGCATCGGGATGTAGTGCTCGCCAGCGCCCCATCCCTACTCTTTCTTAGGCTTCTCAGAGCAACCATCTTCTCTTTGGGGGGGCCTGACATCCTTGGAAAGCCTCCAGTTCTTAAAGTGAGGCACCCCAGAATCTCGATTTTCCTATGTGCCATGTGGCCTAAATTTGAAGTCAGATCACCCTAAACATACCCTCCAGATTGGGTGTAAATCCATCCAACCATTTTCACACGATGCTGTAACAGACGCATCAAAGATTTATTTTCTTCATATAAAAGGCACATACGAATAACAGCTACCATTTATCAAAGGTCTACCATGTGCAAGGCCCTGTGCCAGCTTCATGAGCATTGTGTTCAATCCTCACCCAGCCCTCTTTAGGGGAGGAATTATGATCTCTGTTTTACAGATGGGAAAAGAGTTCAGAGAGGTGAAGTCACTTACCCAGGGTCACACAGCGGAGAGGAAGAGGGGCTGGCCTGCTTCAGGGTCCGGCTCTTAGCCTCCGAAATAAAGGTGATGCTGATCGTCACCTTATTCATAAGCAAAACAAAGTAAACTCACGCATTTTTAAAGTGTCTTATAAAGTATAATTTTGCCTGTGATGAATATTTAATGATTATTGAATGAATGAAATGATGATGGGCCAAGGAGTAAATTAAGCAGAAAGGTTTTCTTTTGTTGTCATTTGTGGCTAAAATCCGCAAGTCAGCGTAGCACCCAGTTGCCCCGCATCCCTGGAGATGCTGGTAGGATGCTGTGGGAGACAGCTGGACTCTGGAAGCAGGTGGACCCAGGTGACCTTGGGGGGGTCACTGAAGGTCAGAACCGCAGTCTCCTCATCTGTAAATGGAGAGCTGCGGAGAGACCGTGAGACCAAGCGCTCGGCACAGCCTGTTACTTGCTGACTTTTAATCACCGAAGACCATGCCTACTAGCGACACTTCAACCAGGGACTACTTCCTGCTGGTGACTGTGGAAAGCAGAGTCGGTCTGACCCCTGACCTTGGGATGCAGTCCCCACCTGCTAGGGACATGAGGGGGAAGACAGAGGTGGGGACAGCCAGTCAGGTGTGACTCCCTCCCATGAGATCCTTTGGGATCCCAAGGACCTACTGTGCGCCCAGCACTTGCCCAGGCCACATTTCCTTAACCTAGAGTTCTCCACCTCGGCGCTATTGCCATCTGAGGTGGGATCACACCTGCGGTGGGGCCGCCCTGTGCATTGAAGTATGATGAGCAGCATTCCTGGCCCCTACTCACCGGATGCCAGCAGTGTCTCCCTCCCTTCCTTGCGCTAACAAAATGTCACCACCCCATTTTGGAGAACCGAGGCTCAGAGAACTCCCACAGCCAAGAGGGGGCAGAATGAGGATTCAACCCCACGTCGAATGGACATCCTGCTTTGTCTCCATGGGCCCCTCTCCCAGGACCCCAGCCACCCCCTCCCCCTGCCCGGCCCCCATCTCTGCACAGACAAGAGACCGACTCAGCGGGTGACGGGCATGCACGCATGGGGGAGTCCATTCATCCCCACGCCGACACACCAACCTCTCCAATGCAACTTGCATCAAAGCTTTATTTGCTGTTTTCAGAGTCTGAATGCAACATCTTTGTACATGCAAAGGTCATCTTGTATGGCAGTCGACCAGATTCCCGAATGCTCTTCGGTGCGTATGAAACCTCTTTACAGTTACAAAATATAAAAGCACTTGGAGACATCGATACTCTGTGAGGTCCAGGAAGCCCCATTTGTTTTAACGTTAAAAATATAGGTTTTTCTAGATGAATTCTCAGTCACGCAAGGAGAGAGTCTTTCTGGGGTTGAATAAAGTGCCTCTCGTCCGCCTCCCGTCCAGGACTCCTAGGGTTTGTGAATTCATAAGGCAATTGCGAGAACACCAGCAACCTGAACTCTCCCACACACAGGACTCGAGGTCCTTCTCTATCGCGACTTAGATTTTCGGAGGAGGGGACCCAGAAGGAAGGTTAGGAAAATATATATTTATATTGACTTCCACTCTCCCCATCTTACAAAGCGTTTGATGATCATAATCGTCTGAGAAGTGCCAGACTTCTGGGATATTGGGATGATTTAGGAAACAACACAGTACAAAATATCTTCCATAACACAATATATTACTTTTGTGAGCCCCTTATTTACAGGATCTATAAGGCTATGTGGAACGAGAGCATTAAAAAGCTCAAATTCTTCTGTAGACAACGGCATAATTTCTTGAGCAGGCCTGACATCACTGGAGATTGTCAAAGAAGTGCCAGTCCCATCCGTGGAAGATGCTACGGCACCAGGTGTGAGGATGGCTGTTTCAGGAGGTCCTGCGCGGGCTGGGGGACAGGCTGGGAGGATAACTGGCCAGAAGCCTCAGGCTGACTCTCTAGAACCCTGCTTTCAGCCCCTCCATGCAGGAACCCACCCAGACAAAAGACAGAAATATCTAGAGGGATGCAGGGGGCACAAGGAGACACAGACTGACCAAGAGGCAGCACGGTCATGCCCACAGGCTTTCTGCGTGGCTGCCCATTTCCAGAACCTCGGCTTGCCCAGAATTCCAAACAGGGTGACTCCTAGCATCTTCTCAGTGCAGAGGTCGGATCCAGCTCTCCCTAAGGGGATGAGATGTGGAGCTGGTCGGGCCTGCTTCAGCTGGCTCCCTCCACCTCAGTATCCTTCCAGCCCACGGACACACGATGTCCCGGGACTTTTGCTTTCCTGTTTTAACGCGGTGGAGGAGGAAAGGCACAGTCAGGGGGTCCCCAAGGTTTCTCCATTAGTCTAGGGACTTGCCATGGCTCCAATTAGGGGGAGGGCACTTCCCATTGGAGAGCGCTCTACTGCCTCCCCATCTCCCCTCAGGCTCACCCTGAAATGCTAGTTTACACAAAGGCAACAGAAATCTAGCTTCCTGTTTTTCGGGGCAGGGCTGTGTGGGAGGGACCACAGGGACTGACGGGGAGAAGCAGAAACGGACGGGGGTGAGGTGGGCTTGAGGACCGTCTCCTCGCGTGGGAGTCTGGCTTCCGTGCGGGCTCCAGTCACCTCTAAGAAAGCATTTAGTGTCGGAGGTGATGTGACCACATCCCTGTGGAGTTTTAGCTTTGTAATTATGCCTAGCTCCCGGGGCAGCCCGGGGACATCAGGATGGAAACTGTAAAAGCAGAAACGGACAAGGCAGCTTTGAGCATGAGGTGGGAGAAGCTGAGGCCTCCTTTACGGAAAGCCCGCCAAGGGTTTTTTCAAACCCTTGCATGGCCGCTAAGCTTAGGGACCCCAGTTAACACCTATTTCTTTCTATTCTCGTTCCTTAGCTATACCTCGAGTTGGCCTCACTCCCCGGGATGCACAAAGGAAAACACATTTGCCTGAAAGTAGACGACTTGACTTGTCCCCCTGGAAAACATCCCCATCGGATTGTCGTTTCTCTGAATCCTAGACAATCTGAGGCTGCCAGCTCAGCGTCACTCACAACCGCCAACATCCCACACGCCACGAGGTTTCTCTCCCACCAGAATCTCTCTGGTGGCGCTGAGGAATTCTCCACAACACTGATTTCTGAGGGCTTGCCATGGAATTTCAAAGGCCAAAGGCCCCTGTTTCATTAGGCAAGGGACCATGAAGAAGGGATCTGCGGGAGGGGAGAGAGATACAGACGTATCGAAAGACCAGCCATCAAAATGCTGATCTGCAAAGGGTGTGTGTGCGTGTGTGGTTGTGTGGAGAGAAAGAAGGAGAGATTGTACAGACATAGGAATTTGCATTTTCTGTAAGACTCTCATTTAACATCCAAAGGCCCAGAGGAGGAGGGTTGGATGAGGACAGGTGACTTGATTGCATACAAACGATTAAGGCGTCTTAAGTTAGTTTAAAAGGAGACAGATTTTCAAGGGCGGCGCCAGGCAAACTGGAGAAACGGGCATATAAACCCTTGCTTAGCCCCCGAGAGCTCACCTAGTTTACAAAAAGGAGAAATAAATAACTCACTTGCCCAGCTACCTGCAAAAGCTGCAAGCAGCCGCCACGTCTGAGTTCACTGCACACTGATCACGGGGGGATCCGGAGGTCGTGGGAGCCTGCAGTAAGGGGGCCGCTCCTGACCCACTGTGACTGTCTGCTCTGCGGTGGAGAGAGGAGGCTGCCCTCGTCGGTTTCCAGGGGTGGATTTTGTACGTCCGAATCATCAAGGAACTAAATGGATTTTTATTTCCAGTCAAGGGGTGGGAGGTTGGGCAAAAGATCTCCAGGTCAATCTCATTTTCAAGTGTTTTTTCCTGCCTGTCGGGCATACTTGGGCTAAAACGTGACTAATTCAGAACCGAGAGTCTTGCGTGGTGAGCACTGATAGACTCACTCAACAGAGCAGGTCATTCCTACTGCCTACGATGGTCCCCAGGGGCCCTGCCCACCTTGAGAAAGACAAAGACGGCAGCCAAGAAAAGCCGTCGGGGTCAAAACACACTAGGAGTATCTTTAAAGGGGGCCTATTAACTTGGAAAGCCACTATATTAAAACTGTTATAAAACATGAACTTGATCTTAAAGAAAAAAGGAAAAAAATCAATGGAAGCAGTGCCTGGAGGAATTAAATTCCCGAATGGCCACAGGGGACTGACCGCTCACTCAGCGAACGAAGAGAACACAAACTATTATCAAGCAGGGCCAAACCTCCAGACACAGATGCATGAGGCTGCCATATGCAGGAGGCTGGGCGGGTCACGGGTCCAACAACTGCCCATCAGGAGCCCAGGATCAGCCAACGGGACTCAGGGAGGGAGGGGCCCTGCAGCCACTGTCCGTGGTGCTGAACCACAACCACCTGGGGCACAGGTGTTTGTCTTAACCTGGAGAAACAGGATTGCTCTCCACTCCCTGCCGCCATCCCCAAGAGAGGGAAGAGGTGGTAAAGGGAGATAAGGGGGGAAGAAGGGATGAGGAGACAAATGGAGACTCCCGGAAAGGTGGCCAGGGAGAAGGGAGCTATGTTTTGACACCATTTGCAAATAATGGATTTATCAAGAGAGAATTTCACCTCCTGGGAAGCTGGGGGCCAGGGGTGGGGGGGAGGGGGGTGGAACACATGTGCCCTCACTTCCACATCTAGCCAGTGCTGTGCATGGATCCACTAGGAAACTCAGCCCAGGGCCCCTCGGCAATCACAGGCTGCCCTATGAACTCCCCAGGCATCTCACCAATGGGCGTCTCCCGGGCAAGGTTGGCACAAAGTGGATGGCAACTCCAGACATGGCAGGTGGCCAGCCAAGTATATCTGGGATGATTGCTGGAGCCTTGGGCTTCAGAGGTGGAGGAAGCTGGTGTTGAGGATTTCCAAAAAGAAGGACAGAGTAGAGATTGTCTAGAGGTCTTGAGCAGAGGTCTAGAGCCCCCACTGAGAGCTAGCAAGAAAAAAGGGACAAGGCAAACCTTACGCTTCGTCACCTAGCATCCAGCACTTCTGTCCAGAGTCCCTAGCCTGGGGGCCTCTCCTCCAGAGAAGGGCTTTTAGCAAGACCCTCCCTTCCTGCATTTGGACCTAAAAAAGCACTTGGTCGGGTGGAGTTTGCGGGGGGGGGGGGGGGGCAAGGGGGGGGGGGGGGGGGGGGGCTGGCATGGGGGGTGTGGTAGAGGAAGAGGAGAGAAGAAACAAGGAACCCTCATTTGCGTGTTTGTCCTGAGGCCAATTTGTAACGTTCTTCCAGGCCAGCAGCTCAGGAGGGGTCCAAAAAAGACTGGAGAAAAAGATTCTCCGGTCGGGTCTGATGTTTGAGTGAGAAAGGCACTGCCATTTGGGCTGAAGTTTATAAACCCTTGAGGCCAAGGGACAAAGGTCACTCTACCGAAATCAGAGCTCAGATGAAAAGAAACCAGGAAAATACATCCAAGGGGGACAATTAGAATTTTTCAAAAGCTTGGACAGGGAATAAGAACCTGAGATGATCGGATACTTCAAGCAAACTATTCAGACATCTTTCCTCCTGTTCTCGAACGTAAAAACATATATACATAGCAAATTTCAAAGAAAACTGGCTGAATTATTGCTTTATCACCTTCTAAAGCGAACGAAAGTGACATACGATGAAACAGGCCAACTCTGCAGGCAGCCCCGCCAGAGGGAGAGAGACACTCGACAGAAGGAGAGTGGGGGTGTTTGAAAATCGAACTGCTGATTCGTCGACAGGGTGATGGAATTCATGAAAAAAGCCATCCAAAACCCCAAGCGGAAGGTACCACCTTGGACCACAATGACGGCAGGCCACGAATGGCTTCTTCCTCCCTGGAAATGTCCTTTTGAAAGAGACCTGCCCTGGGGCGGGAGAAGAGATGCTTTCAAAATACAGGAGTTTTCCACAACCGGAGAGACGGTCCAGCCTCACATCCATGTTGCTGGAGCTGCTGCAGGTGTCCGAAGTGGGCAGAAATGCACATTTTTAAGTAAAAAACCAAACTGCGAGCGTGGACAGTTCTGGGCAGCCCGGCTTCTTTCCGGCTTGAAGTGCTGTCTGGGGAGACGTGCTGGGTGAGCTGTGCCGCCCGATCCGGGAGGGCCAGCGGGGGGCACCGGACAGCATTCTCCACCCGACCGGAGGGGTCCTGGCTGGTCACCGTCGTGCAGGAGAGAACGGCAGCAGTGTGGCCGTGTCTGGGGGTTGTGACAGTTAAGGCTTCTGTTCATTAGACGTGGCAGTGTCCCCTGTCTGGAGAACAAGCGACAGTCCTAGTGTCAGTAGGGGGAACAGGTGGCCCCATTTCTTTCCACCATCAGGCCTTAAAACCTGTCCTGGGATCCCCCCAGACGGCCACTCCCACAGCTACAGGCCAGGAAAGACAGAGCTTGGTTTTGTCTGAGGGGCGGGATGAGGAAGGCGGCTGGCAGCAGGGTACGGTGAACAAACGTGAACTGTAGGGTCAGCTCGGGGAGCCACCTCGGTGCCCTCGTGGGCTGCTGGACGCCTAAGTGAGGTATGGCATGTATGGCACTAAAGACGAAAGAAACAGTCTCTGATCCCTCATCCCCAACCCGTGAGCGTACATTTATCAGGAAAGGGGGAATTTCTTGGAGTTTATCATATACATACAGACACACATACATATGCCTCCATACATACATGTCAATATTATGTACCGTATATCATACATGCATATATCACGCAACGCCCCAGAGTCAAGCACACGATGTGCCTGCACAGATATCCTCGCAGGTCAGGTGTGGCCACTAAGTGGGTGACAACAATGCTTTGTTTTCAGAGCTTTCTGGACTCGGGTCTGTGGATAAGGGGTGGTGGGCTTCCCGTGCTGCTCACATCAGAGCTGACTGTTGGGGTGCATGTCCCGTGTGCTCCTGTCCCTCGGGCTTACAGGCGGGACTCTGGGTGCACTGTCACTGTGCCCTGGGATCGCTCAGCAACACGGGCGCCCTGACCCATTTGACAGATGGAGAAACTGAGGTTCAAGATGTTCAGGCATCCGGGACCCCCACCAGGGTACATCTAATCGTTTCACTTTTTAATCTCTCTTTTTTCAAATTAATTTTTAATTATACAGGTCGTATATGAAGGGAGAAACGGGGAACATTTCAGATTAAGCTGGTCTTTGATAAATGGGGACTGAGATGAGTGAGAAGGGCGGCCAAGCGCAGGAGCCCAGAGCCCGGGTCACCCACCTCTGCGCCCACCCAGGCTGCCCGCTGTGGCTCTTCCCCAAAAGGAAAGAAGCTGTGGCCACCCTCCTCCCAGGACCCCAGGACGCCCCAGGTCTCTGAACCTTTCCTCCCACCACGTTCCCTCCTCCTGGGATCATAGGCTGCGTCCAGCACCCCCAGGGCCCGCCGTACCTGCTCAAGCTTGATTCTCACACAGGCTCTGCCTCTTCTTGGATTTCAGCTCCCGCAGCCACTGCGGACACGGCTCTTCTGATCTGAAACCACAAAGCCAGCGAGAGCCCAGCGTGAGCCAGACCGAGGGCTCCTGCGCGCAGGGCCGGGTGGGACCCGACTCCCCATCTGTCATGCCAAGGCAGACGCTGAGCCGGCACTCACAGATGGCAACGTGCCCACGTGAATGTAACTGATAAGAAATGGGAGGTAACCAAAGCGCCAACGATGGGAATGTTAAGTAAATCATGGTGCTTCCATTCCATGAAATAATCTGCACTATAAAGTCATGGTTATAGAAAATCATCTCCATCCTTCCACTTGTCGCCCAGACATTCAGCCATCCTTCCATTTCTCTACCCGTCTAAATGCCTGTGATGGTTAATCTTACGTGTCAACTTGGCTAGGCCACAGTACCCAGATATTTGGTCAAATATTATTCCAGATGACCCCTGTGAAAGTTTTTTTTTTTTTAAGATGAGATTAACATGTAAATCAACAGACTCTGAGTAAAGCAGATTACCCTCCAGCATATGGGTGGGCCTCATCTAATCAGTTGAAGGCCTTCATAGAAAAAGACTGACCTCCCCAGAAGGAGAGGGAATTCTGCCAACAAACTGCCTTTGGGACTTGAACTGCAACCTCAGCTCCTCCCTGGGTCTCCAGCTTGCAGCCCACCCTGCAGATTTTGGACTCGCGAGGCTCCACAACCATGTGAGCCAATTCCTTAAATAAATCTCTCTCTTTGTGTGTATACATCCTATTGGTTCTGTTTCTTTGGAGAACCCTGACTAGTGCAGTGCCCATATGACACAGATTTGTTTAAATGTATTGTTAAAGAGATTTGTCTGCTTCCCACAGCCCCCTCTGTGCTCTGATAACAAGCACTGCCTGCAGCTCCCAGCAGCATGAGGCCTCTGGGCCTTTGCACATGCTGTGACTCTGGTCTGGGATCCCCTCACACTGCCATCTCTTTGTCCATCATGACTCAGCTCAGCCTCTCCTTCTCTTGGAAGGCTTTTTCACGTCTTTCCTCCTCAAGTATGGGTTAAGAGCCCTTCCTCTCTCCTGGGGCTCAGATAAACGGCCAGACAGTAGGTATTTTTGACTTTGCAGGTCACTGGGTGTCTGTTACAACTAGTCAGCCCTGCAGTTGCACCAGGAAAGCAGCCGTAGATGATACATAAATGAATGGGTGTGGCTGTGTGCCAATAAAGCTTTATTTATAAAAGCAGACAGTGGGCCACGGTTCACCCAGCCCTGCTCTGTCAGAGCACTTACTACATCACAATGCTAGGAGCACGAGTAATTCCTAACCTCTGTGTGTTACCAGGTCTCATGACAAGAACCCCACTACCCCTTAGAGGGCACGTGTACCAGCCAGCTCCAGGGCCAAGGGCTTCACACACACTGTCTCGTTTCATCCTCACGACCACCAAGGAAACTTAGAATGATCAGTCAACCCATTTTACAGATAAGGAAACTGAGGCCCAGAGAGGTCAAGTGACCTCTCCCAGGTCACACAGCTCTGAAGCAGCACAGCTGGGATGATTTTAGAGGGAGCTTTTAACCTCCAGCCCCAGCTGCTGCCGTGCCCTGGTCTGGGAGCCCCTGGGAGCAGGAGCTGTGCTGTGCTCATCTCTGCGTGGAGCAGGCCTGGCCGGGAATGGGACAGCCGCTCCCCGAAGGGCGAGTGAATTAAGTGTATCTCGTTCAACCTGGCTGTGCCCTTCCCTGGTCTCTCGGATTCTCCTGAGACAAAGTCGCTTCCCTGGAAGGTAACAGGAGGGAGGTGCCTCAGTTTCCCCTCCAGCCTGGAGAGGGCGGCACTCAGCAGTTTTCCAACAGCAGATTTCCAAGCAGGATGTGAGGGGAGGAGGGAAGGAGTGAGGCCAGCAGGCCGGGTTCCTGGCCCCCTCCCCGACCTGTGCGTCCGTTACATCTCAGAGTCCGCAGCATCACATTATTGCGTTAGATATGCCAAGAGCTCACCTGAATCCACAGAGCTTCTGCTGCCGGGAAAACAAAGCTGAAACTCTCCTTCCATTCAGCCCTGCAGCCCAGGCACGCTCCTCCCCAGAAGGGCACCCGAGTGCGGGGCGGAGGGGCCCTCACCCCCAGACCCCTCACCTCTCATCCTTCTCTGCGCTGGAGGGCAGCACGCGACTGCCCAGCACCCCAGGCTGGAAGGGGGACTTGGGGGTCCTGGGCTGGGGGGCCCGGCCGGGGGTCTCGCCGGGACTGTCGGCCTCGGGCCTCTTGTGCAGCTGAGTCTGGAGAGAGAAGAGGACTCTCTGTAAATGGCCTGTGGTCTGGGGAAGGGTCCCGGCCAATGGCACTGTCAGCGCATGGTGACAACGGGGCCCCCAGTCTCTGAACGGACCTGGAAGGAAACACAGGGGCAGGGGAGACGCTGCCCGACCCTGGAGGCCGGGACACCTCGGAGGTCAGGCTTTCAGTCCCCACAGCCACCCCTGACCACTGGGATCAAAGACCCACCAGCAGAACGCCCCACAGTCCCATCATCTTTGGCTGAAAAGCCACCGTTTGCAGGTTTCTCAGCACAGGACATCCCGTCTCCTTCAACTCTGTGAGATAGTGCCCCTCCCACAGCTGAGGGTCGGCTCCCTTAAGCCCCCCACTCCTGCATCCGGACAAATAAAATGAAGTTTTGACATCAGACATCCCCAGGAAAAAGCCAGCATGGATTTTCACCATTTTCGGAGGGCACGTTGGGAACAACTTAGTAGTGTGCTCAGAACTCCCTTGGGGGCCCGAGGGTGTGAGGGTGGCAGGTGGCATTTGTCTCTGAGACCACGCCGGGACAGCCCCCAGCAGCAACAGTCGTTTCCATCGTCCGCCCGACAGCCCTGTGCACTGAGATCCGTCGTTTCGACTCTATCAGGCCTGAGTTACAGGACACACGCTCCCAAGACAGACACTGGCTTTCCCCCTTTTACAGAGGAGTCACCTAAAGATCAAAGGTCGAGCAGTTTGCCCAAAGTCTTCCAGTTTTTAAGAACTGCAATTTGCCCCCAGCCTGCCCAACCCCACTGCAGGGCTCCTTCCAGAACGGGCCTGGGAGCCTCCTCCAGGGGTTAACAATTGCCTAGCATCGCCCGTGGCTGAGAGAGCCCAGAGCACATGTGGCTGCCACCAGGCCTGAGGAGCTCATGCTAACACTGACAAGCGGACGGGCGAGAGCCTCGTCTCCACGGAGCGCAGTGCACCTGGGCTGTGTCCAGGGAGCCAGGCCCGTGCCACGTGGGAGGCCAGGCCCCGCCTGCTCCCGTGCCTCCCACCTCAGGCTGCCTCGTAAGATGCCATTTGTTCTGATGCTTAAAAAACAAGTCAGAAAACTTCTGGCCCGGTACAATGGCTGCAAGGCGCTCACATTTTGAAGAGCCGGGAAGCCAATTACAGGGACGGGCAAGCATCCGCCGTTTATTGACTGTCTATTCGCGCAAGAAACGACATAAAAAGCAGAAGAGCCACCTAGTAAAGGGGTGGCAGACTTGTGGCCCGCCCACAGGTGGTTTTCGCGGCCTGCGTGGAATATCGAGTTGAGATACCCCACAGGAATATCTCCCCCTTCATTTCTTCTCCAATAAAATGGGAGAAAAGAGCGACCTTTTGTGGGGTTTCTGGGGGGCAAAAGTGCGTGGTGCCCGGCCCAGAACAGGGGGCCACAAAAGGTCCCTCCCTTGCCTGACTGAAGCACCCCTGCACCCCGGGACTGAGAGAAGCTGGGTGGCACTGAGGGTGGGGCCCAGGGAGGTGGCCCCACTCTGCCCTGCGGATTCCACAGTCCAATGGGGGTTCTGCTCTTATTTACGAGAGCGTCACATGGCTCCAGCGCCGGCTTCCCACATCCTTTGGTATCGAAACCATCATTTTCTGTGCCTACCGTCCCCAGCAACCGATTCCTCAGGGACACAGGCTGGGTCTGTTCACTCCCGTTTCCCCGGCAGCCAGCAGTGGGCCTGACGCCCACGGCGCATTATCAGCCCACTTTACACACGAGAACATCGAGGCTGAGCTACGAGACCAAACCAAGCAGCGGGTTTGGGGGCTTAAGAAAGACAGGGAGTGGAGATTAAGAAACACCAGGTCACCACGGAAATGATAAGGTGGTGGTCCCCTGAGGTGTTATCACGGGGCGAAGCTGGGCGAGGGGCACTCGGGAATTCTCTGTACTATTTTTGCAACTTGTCGCGAGTCTTAAACTATTTCAAAAATGAGAGAGAGGGAGGAAGGAAGGGATGGAGGCAGGGAGGGAAGGACAGAGGGAGGGCTGGACGCATGAGGGTACTCTGTTACTCCCAGGTCATGGGGGCTGTGGCGCCAGGCTGGTACCTTTAGCACGGCCGGGTCCATGCCTGGGAACACGGGGATCCTCTGCGGATGGCTGACAGGTGTCCTCTCGGCCCTGGAGGGCTTGTCCTCCTCATCAGATTCTTCCCTCTGGGGGGATTTCTCTTCTGTTGCAAAGGAAAGGTCACCAAAGTCACGGACAGCCGTCTACTGTGGCCTGTGGGCCAGACCCTTCACGCAGCCCCACGTGCAGCCCCGGCAACAGCCCTGCACAGATGGGATCGCGCGCGGGCCACTCTGCAGATGGGGCCACAGCGGGGGCCTTACTGTGGACAGTGAGGCAGGACGGGTTTGCTCCCGGGACTGGGCATGGCCAGGCCCACCTCCTGGGCTCCCGGCTCATTCTGAGTTGGGGAAACAGACGGAACTCCTTGGCAGAGGCAGGAAAGGAGACAGAAGCCCTTTCAGCCCATTGTGCGCTGGGGTCATGCTCTTAGAAGGGAGTGGGCAGGGCTTCCTGTGTCTTGGGGGAGGGCTGCCCACAGTGGACCAGGAAGCCACTGTCCTTCACCCCGAGCCCCCCTCTCTGGGATGTAACCCCATCACCATGGTCCAGCCTCCAGGTGATGGGCTGCCTGTCCCCACTCCTTCAGGAGACCTCCTGGAGACCGGGACACCGCCACAGTGAGGAGTGGGGGTCGGGGACGGTGGAGGCAAGGTCGGGTCTTCTGGAGCCCCGGGCCAAGCAGGGAACTGGGGTGTGTTCAGAAAGCATACCCCCAGGCCCTCCCCACGCTGGCCGGTTCCTCAAGGCTGCTGGGAACCAGAGGCAGCCGCCATGCTCCAGCTGGTGGTACATGTGGCTTTTGTCCGCACTTTGGTCTTTATTGGCTCCAGGCAGCTCCATGGAACTTGGCTCAGAAAGCCCAGGAAGGGTGCAGAGAGAGAAGTCTTACTCAGGCATTTAAACTTTTCCTCTAATGACAGACATGAGACAGGAGAGGGGGAGATAACCCTCTGAGCATTTATTTAAGGTACTGATCAGAGGCTACGCCCCTCACCCAGCCCAGAGTCTGGTCCAACATCCTACTGTTGGCCATGAACAAATCCCAAATGAATAAAAGCTTACAGTAGCTTTTGGGGACCAAAGGCTATACACACATAGAGCAGTGGGGTCACTTGCTATGGTTTCCATCAAAAGAGATTTTGCTTCTTCTTAAAACCCTTCCACAACTCTCCATCTACAGATAAAGTCTAACTCCTTAGCAAGGAATCACGACTCTCTGAGCTGACCCCTGCCCACCTTTCCAGCATGATTCCTGCTACTTCCAGCTTGAGCAACACAGAAGCACTTAGCCCTGCCACACACACACACACAGAAGGGTCTTTCCACACCTCTGCCCCTCGGATCCTGCAGATATTTCTGTGTGGAATACCCATCCCTGCTTAATTCCATCTGCTCTTTAAGATTAGGCTCAGGTTTGGATATGCAATGCAGCCAAAGAAGTCCTTAGAGGAAAATGCGTAGCCTTCCATAATTTATTAGAAACCAAAAGACTGATAATAAATGAGCTGGTCTTTCAACTCGAAAATCTAGAAAAAAACCAGGCAACAAAACTAAAGGGAGTAGAAGGGCGAAATTAATTAAGGATAAAAGAAGAAATCCTGAAACCCTAGTAAGTTGTGTCTCTGTCTCTCCCAACCCATGGAGCCCCAATTTATATGCCATCCCCGAAAAACCTTTTCTGTCTAGTTTCTACTAAGCTGTGTAGAATGAAAACACTGTAGCTTCCTATGCCACTGTGTTCTAACATCCCACAGCCTGCAAAGTCAGGAAGGTCTTCCCAGTGTCCAACCCAGCGGCTTCCTGCTGTTCCATGTGGTGTCTGTGGAGGGGAGAGTGTGTGGCGTACCCGTCGAGTCCTTGAACATCCACCTGCTGTCAGCGTCCTCCTCCAGTGGAGATCGGCTCTCCGACTCGCCCACTCGGCTGCGCCGGAGGGAGTGGGAGATGGGAGCCCGGCGGCGGCTTCTCTTGCTGAGCTGCACCCGGGTCTTGAGGGCACTTGAGTCGAGGACTGAGGTTTGCTTTGGGAGCGGCAGTGGGGAAGAGGGAAGAAAACAAAGGAGCCATTACTGGAGGGCACCACGTAAGGGAGGAGTGTGTACCTTCGATGATACATGAGATGCTGTTCAGGTGGTCCGTGGCCAGACTTTCTGCATTTTAATAGTAACCAACACCTTAACCCTAAATTTCTCCATAAAACATACCACGAAGGCTGATTACAAGAATTGAATGAAACTTGGGTGCCCGAGCACAGTGCCTGTCACCTAGGGGACACATAGTAGAAACGCCTTTCCCCTCCTGGTGATGTCGTATGAGCATGTAAGCTATGGCAATGCTCAGTACACAGGAGCTCAATAAATATTTGTTTGTTGAGTGAATAACTGAATACATCATCTAATTAAACCTTTACAACAACCCTATTCACATAGGGTCCACAAACTGAGAAGTTCTCACTGTGGTCCTTCCTCCACCCGCAGCAGTTCAGGGTGCAGGCGCAGGTGGGGGGACCAATCTATTAGGCACCAGGCAATCGTTTTCAAGCTTTCAAACATCATGCTCTGAGAAGGGGCAGGTGGAGGGTCAGTGATGGTTTCTAAGATTATCACCTTCTGCAATCAAAGGGCCGGGGGTGCAGACCACCACCAGCGGGCCCAGCAGAGAGGTGGGGCAGCCACTGGCCCAGCGATCTCCCAGGCGATGGTGGTGAGGAGCTCGGAACTCAGGGTTCAGATCCCGCTTGGTCCAAACCCTGGCTGTGTGACCATGAGCAGTGGACATCACCTCTCTGAGCTTGGGTGTCCCTATCTGTCAAAAGGGGATAACACCAGCATCCCCATCCTAGGGTGGCTGAGAGAATTCGGTGAGCTCAGGCATGGAAAGCCCTCACTTCAGACGGCGCCTGAGAGTCCACAGACCAGAGCTATGACTACAAGGGGCGTCTCTTCCTGGCCAGCTCACGTTCTGGCGTGAAACGTTGGTTTCCTCCTCTCTGGTCTCTTTGGAGAAATTCCGTCACCAGAAGCTGTTTAAGTTAGCAATGACGGGCCAATTTCAGTGAGTCATTTCCCAGAGTTGTAAGTGCCAGACACCCCACCGGGGGCGGGCCAAGGGAGCTGATATTTGCACAGCTGGTCCCAAACTGGCCACAACGGTGTCCAGAGTAGGGGTACTGGGAGAGACGGAAATCATGGGTCGCTGCCCCCAAGAGAAGGGCAGACTTCCCCGGTCGGTCACTAACCAGAGCCAGTTTCTCAGAGTCAGAGAAGGGAGGAGGGGATCACACCAACTGAGGAGCTGGCTGGAGGGGGAGTCGGTGCCGCTTCCCCGGGGCCACCTCGCAGCCTCAGGCTGGTGCACAAGCTGGAGACCTCAGTACCTCGCCTCCCATTCCAGCCTCCAAACAGAGCCCACGGGGGATGCCCATCACAGTGGGCATCATGGGTAGACCTCAGGACACATTAAGTAGCAACGCCTGTGCCTGGGGCCACCAGCATTTGAATCTCTCTGCCACTTTAGTTCCCTAGTCTGCCAAGTGGAGCAGGAATTTTCACCTCTTGGCATTACGAACATGCACGTGGGCCAGGGGCCAACACTCAGTGACCAGCGGCCGTTGACACAGCTGCTGTTATTTACAATGGACGCTGAGAAGCAACTACTTAGTGTTCTAGAAGGTAAGTCCAGAGAGTGATGCTATGGCATGGTGACATCATACAAGCACATAAGCTAGAGCAATGCTTGGCACATGGGGGAGCTCAAGAAATGTTTGTTGAATGAATAACTGAATATATCACCTAACTAAATTCTTACCGTCCATGCCATGTCCATGTTTATATAATGCAGTCCCCCAGTGGACTTGTGTCTTTCCCCACTTTGCCGTTATCCAGAGGGGCCAGTGAGAGACCCTGGCCATACTTAGAAAGGGGAATCCACTTTGAGACCCTAAAGGAAGACCCCTCCCGAAGCAGTGGTGTTCCCACTCTGGGAGATTCTGGGTGGCCATCCCCACGAGTGTGGGCATGAGGTTTTACCGCCAGGAGAGTGGGTCCCTGTTAGACTCTGCATCATTTAGATGCTGCATCCTCAGGAGGGTGGGAGGGGCGCCCCACTGTCAGGGAAGGAAAATGCTGAGAACCCCACGTTTCAAGGACTGACAAGGAAAATTGGACCCCTGAGGGGAGGGGCTCCTTGGGAGCGGGGGCAATGAGAGGACAGGGGCTGGAGCAGGAGGGCAGCTGGACCCGAGCGGCTGGCATCCTGGAGGGAAGCTCTGCTTGGGGCAGCCCCTGGGGACCCACGCGAGGGCTGCCCATGCCTGAGGGGGCTCCCCTTCCTGAAACCGCCACTACCCATTTACAGAGAGACTTGGGTCCCCTGGCACCAGGGACATGGTCCCACTAAGCAAGACCCTGGTGAGAACACCCAGCAGAACTGGTCTGAGCCAACTCCGGACTCTGAACATCTGGAATTGCAGACCCCCTCCCCCAGGGATGAGGACCCAGACTTTCTGGCAACCTAACAGCTGAGGGCTCGGATCAGTTTTAATTTGTGATTGTATTTAAGGCTGTCAAGTCCACTGTGCTGGTTATGAGTGGATGAGGAAGCTGAGGCTCAGAGAAGTGAAGACATTTGCCTCAAGACACACAGCTGGGTGTATGGCAGGTTCCAGCCACATGCAGACATTAGTCCCACCTGAAACCACGCCCTCTGCACCCACCCCAAGGTTCCGTGGTACAGACTCTATCCCTGAAAGGGGCAATTCACCGGGAGATGCTAGAGTGTCCCTTTAAGAAGAAATCAGTGTTTCCAAGACAAGCTCGAGTTCCCGACTCACATCGATAAAGGAGAAGTCGTCCACTCTCTTGGCAGGGGAGGCGTCCGGGGCGGGCAGCCCGTCCGTCCCGTCGGTGGATTCCAGGTCAGTGCTGGAGCGGTCTGCACTGGTGCTCCGCTGGTCTCTGGAGCCCTCAGGCTGGTCCCCAGCGGAGGGGGTCTCCGTTTGCGAGGACAGGGAGGACAAGCGGCTGCTGGGGGGCTGTTTCCGCCCCGACGCGGCACTGCTGTCCGGGGACGGGGACTCGGGGGCCAAGCTACGAGAAAGGAACGGAGGAGACTCGGTCATGCGGGTCGTCTCAGAGAGCTGAACCCAGGAACAGGGCGTGGGCGAGCTTTACACAGCGGGAAACAAGACACAGAGCATCCCGTGGGATGACCTCGGGCACAGCCAGGTGCTGCTCAGGGCGCCCTCACAACACCTGGACAGGTGCGCAAGGGGAGGAGTCACTCCTGTCCCATTCAAGACCCCCTAGTCCCGCGAGGTCCAGGAGCCGTGGCTCACACGTGACTATTGGGCCCTTGCAATGTGGCCGGTGAGAGTGGAGCGTAAGGCGCATACAGGATTCCTAACACTTCGGGTGGAAAAAAAACATTGGATCCATGTGCTCAATAAAATATTGCTATTTAAATTGTGAAGATTAATTTGACCTCTTTCTTTTTACTCTTTTTGTTTCATTCATTCATTCACTTATTTGATAAAGATTTACTGAGCGCTCACTATATGCTCAACACTGTCAATTAACGCTCTCCATAATCCTAGGAGGATTACCCCATAATCCCATAAGTTCCACAATCCTACGACAGAGGATCGATCTCATGAAATTCAATATCCGCCTCAGTAAAGATGAGGAAAGCGAGGCATAGAGCTGGGAAGGAGCCCAAAGGGACAGGACTGCCTCCAGAATTCAAGTCCTGGAGCGTCTCCTGCTTCTGGAATTTCTTCCCATGACAATGCGTTCAAGTACCGCTAGAATCATGGGAACCACACGAGATAGAAAATCTATAGATAAGTCAAGCCATCCAGTGAAAAAGGCTCCCTCCCATAAAAAAAGATACCCAAGTCAAGAGCACGGGAAGTCTTACCCTGAGGGGGGCGGGGGGCACACCAGACACCACCCCCTGATGGGAGGGTCTGCCCTGAGGACCCCCGAGCGGCCCCCTTGAGCAGAAACTTCAGCCCATGTGGCCCGGTGTCGCGCTGCAGGAGCACAGCCACACTGTTGTCAGCTCTGGGGTGATTTTCTTACTTGGAAGAGGTGGGATGTTGGGGTGTGGGGTGGGATTCAGTCAAATCCACAAAAAATGAGGGAACTACCACCGAGGAGGCAGCAGATGGCGCCGTCGTCCAGGGCTGGGAGCACGTGGCTCCTCGGACGGCCCCAGAGCGGGGCTGCAGGGCCTCGGGGAGACAGGAGGGGGCGCCCACCCACGGGAGACCCCAGGACTCCCTGCAGGAGCTGGGGGTGGAGGCCCAGAGAGGACGGCCCTGCAGGGTCACACAGCGAGGTGGGCAGGGCGAGACCCAGGCTCTGGCGGGGGTGTCTGGGGAGTTTTAAGCAAGCCTACTAACCAAACCCATTTGGCACGTTGGGGGGAAAAGCTTTCCTGGGTAGACACACCACATCCCCGGGCATAAAACCCACAGATGAGAAAACTGAGTGACATAGTGACAGCTGGTAAGTGGCCGTGCCGGGAGTCAATGTAGGTCTCCCCAACTTCCCCCAGCATGCGATCCTGCAGCCCTCGGCACGGGAAGGCTCGAGCTGGGAATGCGACAGGGCCCACCCTGGGCATCCACCAAGCCACTGCTGTGCATGATGCCCCCAAGGGCGAGAAGATAACTTGCATTTTTAAAACAAGTAACAGGTGCAATGAATAAAGCTCCTACTGTGTGCTGGGGAATATGCTAATTGCTGCACGGTTGCCCTCCCAACAACCCCATGAGGTGGGGTGCCTCAGTCTCCGCCTCTGGGAGATGGGGTAACAGATTTACATGTTAACACATTTCAGAGCTTACAACAGCGCTTGGCGCGTACGCTCAGCAACCCTCGGCTGTTTTTATAACCATCGCTCCCCTCCTACATGGAGGAGGGATGTAAAATCTGGAAAATACAGCTGATGACGAATGCAGACAGAGCTCAGGAGGCAGTATGATTAATACGCTCTTGTATTTGTAAACACACGCACACAGATGTATTGAAACAAGGCGAGAAAGACACACAGCACAAGCAGTGACGATGGTTCCCACGCTGTGCTGGGAGCACAGGTGGTTCTCATTTTCTCTGTGACTTTTTTGTTATTGTGGTAAAACACACGTAAGATTCACCACGAGTGAGATGTAGCATGTTCACAATGCTGTGCAACTGCCGGCTCCATGCAGTTCCAGAACAACTCCCTCACCCCAAAAGTGGTCACTCCCCGTGCCCCCCGCCCCCCAGCCCCGCAACCACTAATCTGCTTTCTGTATCTACGGATTTGCCTACTCTGGACATTTCATATATTATTTTCTTTATACGTTCTAAAATTGTTTTTTTGTAACAAGAATGGTTTACTCTACCATGACAGACAAAACTGGTCCTAATAATCTGGAAATCAGGAGGCAGGGGGGCCACACTGACTCCCACCCAGGGCCCCCCTGCCCCAGCTAGGAGCCCCGCCCGCACAGCCTACCTCTCCCCGCTCTGACGTGGGTCCGTCCATGTCCCATACTGGCTGTCAGCTTCCTGCACGAGGGTGTCGGTGTCCCTGGCCTCGGGGGGCCTCCTGGAGAAACACTGCTTCAGCTGGTCCTGCAAGGACAAGGCAGACGAGAGGTTTCTATCAGGGAAAATGCTCAGAACCCCGGGCCGGCCGACACGAATGGTATGACATCACTCCCAGGTCAGACCCGCCCCAGCTCCCCACTGCTCTCCAAGGTGGGTCCCAACGTCTTGGCTGGGCATCAGGGTGACCAACCATTCGGGTCTGCCCAGGACATCACAGGACGCAGGACTGTCAGGGCTAAAGCCGGGCAAGCTGGGATGAAGGCCACCCTCTCTGGCACACAGAGTCCCGGTGGGTGCCACCCTGCCCCTCCTCAGTGCCCCTCTCTCAGCCTCACCCTGCGGCCAGGCTGAACTTCTCTCCATCTTCAACGCCCCCAGGACTCAGTCCGGTCTAGGGCGCCCCCACTGCCTGAGTCCCACCACCACAGTGCTTCCCCGTCAGCATCACCCAGCACAGCACCCGTGGAGCATTTAACTCGTGCCCGGCCTCGACCAAGCTGTTGACGCATCACCTGGCTGAACTGAGTCCCATGGCGATCCCGTGAGGTGGAGCTTACTACAATCCCGTTTTACAGATGGGAACACTGAGGCTTAGAGAGGTGAAGCGACACGCCCCAAATAAAATAACCGGGTAACTGAGAAGGGGAACTCAAACTGAAAGCGAGGACGGAGGAGTTACAGTTTCCCTGGATGAGGATGAAACCGCGTCTGCACCCACAAGGTTAATGTGGGAAACAAAGTAACCGAAGTTTCTGGGCTCGCCTTGCAGAACAGCGGGAGGCCGGCGGATAAGAGAGCGGCTTGCTGACAGCCCCCTGCCAGACTAAAGACCCACCACATGCAATACGTCGAACGCCCCCAGATTTGCACATGTGGCCCATGAAGGATATGAAAGAGTCACCCCCACGCAGAGGACGCTCAGAACTTCAGCCCCAAGGCCACGGGCTCCCCTCCCGGTCTCATTCCCACCGTGTGCTTTGGAAAAACACTTAGAACTGTGTGAAGGCAAGCTAATCTGTAACAATAGAAAGAGTAACTTGTTAGCAGAAAATTTATGTCCTCTGCCCAAACCTCCCTTCCATCCCAGATAAGGAAGGAACTGAGGCTTTCTTAGATTCCTTAGGAATGTCGCCTTCAGCAGATCCGTGGGGAGAGGCGCCCGACGTTCCGTGGTCGTCCATCCCCTGACACCCCGAAGCCCCCTCCCCAGCCCCACTTGCCCTGCAGAAGCCATTTCCAAGTGGGTTCCCTCTAAGATGGGGTTTTAGGAAGATAGTCACCATCTTCCCATCTGCTAGCTTATCGCTTATTAAAGTTCTTTGTCTCTCACCGCCTGCCTGGCCTTTGATCTTGCGGGGAGCAGATGCGGCCCCTGCTCAGTGTCAAAACCTGGAGCTCGAGCCCCGCGGCCTGGACCCCTCGGTTCTGTCACTGCCTGCTTGGCTACTGGCCTCTGTCCTCGGCCTGGGCCCTGGGTACCACCCAATTGGCTGCAGGGCCGAGCCCAGGGCCTGGCACGTGGGGGGCAGCCCACAGATCCCCCACTAAGTGACCGCGCTGCCGGCTTCCCTAACGTGTCCGCTCAGGAGAAGCCAGAGCATTCAAGGCAAAACCAAAACCCCACTCGCGTGGGTGGCTGCTGGCTTCTGACGGCCTGTGAGGGAGGTTCCCAGTCACCATCTTTTGAAGACTGGGGGCAAGTGGATGAGGAATACAGAAGGAGAGGGGGCGAGGAGGTGAGAGCAGCCTTGCCTCAATTCCAGAAAGGTCAACAGGGAGCATCTTCCCTTCTTTTGTTCTATTTGAGGTCAGGAGACATCTTCTGCTGAATGTGCTTCAGAAGCATTCATCTGCTCACAATCCTTCCATGGCTCCCTATTGTCCTCCTGCTGAAATCCAACATCTCTCGTAATGGAGCCCCAAACTTCCCGGCCAGTCCTATCTGCCACTCCTGCCCCAAACAGCCCTCCATCCCCACTCTGCCTGACTTACTCACTGCATCCCGCACAGTCCTCGCATCCTGACCTCTGTGGCTTTGCTTGGGCTGTGCCCTCTTCCTATCCATCCTTTCCAGCCAAGCCATTGCAATCACAGTGATCTCTCCTTCTGAACTATTCCTGCCTACTCTGGACTCATGATTGTACCAGGAAAAGTCTGCCAAACAAGTTATTTACTCAACAGATATTTACTGAGGACCTACTATGTGCCAGGCAACGGGGAACTGGGGGTGGGGTCACAACACAGACCCAGTCCCTGAGACTCTGTAACTCAGCTGATGCACCCTTCAAGGTCGGACGCTCCGTCGTCTTTGTTCCCCACACAGGGCCTGCCTGGTACCCAGTAGGTGCTTAGTGGAGGTGGGCTGACCCTCAGCAGTCTCCCTTCCTCCAGCGGTGGCAGCATGCCTCTTCACAGCTTCTATGGAACCATCCTCAGTGGAGAGAGCACATATGGTCCAGCAGAACGAGCAAGTGCATGGGGAAAAGCTTTGCTGTGTGACGTCAGGGCTTTTGCCTCCCTCTCTGGGGCACAGAGAAGTGACAAGGACTCTCGAGGAAACGGTAGTCACCCCAAGGGCACAGAGGCCAATGAGAGGACCCAAGTGACAGCTCCTAGTACAGGGCCTGGCACTCAGGAAATGCCCGATACGTGCCCCCTCCTGCCCCGGTCTCTCTCTCTCATCTTTTGGGGGCACTTGGATAAACCCAGGATGTTCAAGGGGATGCTGCAGGCGAAGCGTATGCAAGGACGGGAATTCAGAAGAAACCCCTCAGTCCCGTCTGGTGAACAGCCACACTCGCGACCCTCGTAACAGCCAGACAACCCTAAATCCACGGCCTGTGGAACCTTTTCTTGTTTCCACCAAAATAACACATGCTCATTGTAAAACATTTAGAAACGATAGAAAAGCACGAGGAATGACATTTTTAAATAACCCGTCACTCGGTGACAATATTGTGGCACAGTCCTGTCCAGAATTTCCCCCGGGTCAGTTCACCTAAAGCACCATCTTTAACCGCTGAAGAACGGCCCAGGGATGGACGCAGCATCGTTCATTTGACAATCTCCAAGTGCTGGGCATTTAGGTTGCTGATTACTTTTCACTGTCACAATCAGCAATATGACGAACATCCTTGAGGCTAAAGGGACCCATCTCTGTGACCACTCCCCCAGGAGAGATCCCTAGGATAGAACCACCGGGTGGAGGGGTCACATATTTGTGAGGCTCTGGGTCCTGATGAGCCAGCCAGCCTGGGGACAGTCAGCCCGATCTCCAAGGCCACGGGCGGCCATTGGCGCACCTCAGGATGCAGTCAGTTCCACCAGGGGAAACCTGGATGCGTCTGCCTTAAAAGGACATCTGACATTCTCAGTTGCCCTGCACCCTTAACAGAAATCTCCCTGGGGGGCCGGCCAGGTGGCCCAGCGGTTAAGTCTGCACATTCGGCTTCGGTGGCCCAGGGTTGACCAGTGCGGATCCCAGGTACGGACATGGCACCACTTGGCAAGCCATGCTGTGGTAGGTGTCCCACATATAAAGCAGAGGAAGACGGGCATGGATGTTAGCTCAGGGCCAGTCTTCCTCAGCAAAAAGAGGAGGATTGGAAGCAGTTAGCTCAGGGCTAATCTTCCTCAAAAAAGAAATCTCCCTGGGGCCCAGGAATGGAAGTGATCATCTGAGCATGTGCCCAGCTGCTTACTGTTTTCAAAGATGTCATAGAATCAGCCTAACTTGACCCCCTACATGGTCAGATTCAGAGGCCAGAGGTTGGGGCCTGAGGGGTTGCTTCTGGCGGACTCGACATCATCGTCCTGAGCAGTGTGCAGACGGCTGCAAGCTGGATGTGGGGCCTGGGCCCTGCGTGCGCTAAGCTCAGTGGAAGGCAGAGGGGTGACGCTCAGGGATGGTCTACAGCCTGGGGGGCTTGCTGTCTCTCTCCACTGCACCTGTGTGGCCCGGCCAAGCAGCTTCCCCATCCAAGCCTCAGTTTCCCCTTTGGAAAAACAGGTTGTCCTGAAGCTTCAGCAGGTAACCTCTGGAGAGTATCAAGCTCAGGAGACGGGAGCTGCCGTCCCGGGAACCACTGTCACGGCCTCCCCAGAGTCAGGCAGGGGGACAGACCCCTGGCAAAGCGTGGTTCTTCTCGGGTCCTCCAAACCCCCAGCGACAGGGAGCTCTGAGCGCTGAGCGAGGGCGGGAGGCATCTGAGGGGCCTCTGGCACTCAGCAGGGCAGGTTCCGGGGGAGGCTGAGGATGGAGTGGGGGCTGGAGGCAGGGAACGGCTCTGAGCTCCCGCGCACGCTCTGCGTGGGGGCGCACATGGCGTTCGGCAAAAACACGCCGGCTTCCATCCACTGCCGTCTGGGGGCGTTCAGGGCTCTGGAACCCCCACGGGCAGGAATTCATGTGCTCGCCCTCCACCGTCTCACACCGGACTCAGGATTCCAGCGGGCAGCACGCCTGGCCCCCCTGCTACCCCCAGCCCTGTGGCGCATCAATCCTCTCAATCCCTGAGTCCTTCAAAGTCTCCTTCCGGAACATTCCATCCGGCCTCGGCCAGCTCCAGGGTCTCCTTGCCGCCCTCACCTGGGGCCCCTCCCATAGGTTCTCTTCCCATTAGTTGCCAAACCGAAATCGAAGCCTGAAGGGCCCCTGCTCAGAATCCTTCATTAGCTCCCCGTGGCCCTCAGGATTAAGACCAAACACCCTAAGGATGGCTTGCAGGGCCCTCATGAGTGGGGCTCTTTCCCCATCGTCCCAGCCCCTCCCTGCTCCCCAGTCCGTCCCAGTGGCTGGTCCAGCCAGCTTTGTCCCCCACATTCCTCAGTCCACTCTCCCTCCCCTCCAGACCTGCTGGACCAGCCACCACCTCCTGGCCATATTCAGATTTCAACTTGGATGGCTCTTCCTCCAGGAAGCCTTCCCTGAACTCCCCCTCCCCCCCCCCTCACCCCGCCAACCAGCTCAGGAGCCCCCAGCACCCACCGTTCCCTGGACCTCAAGTCTCTGTATCTTGCTGTCC